TTTCTACCTTCAGAAATGCTTGGCTTCTTTTACCACCATGTGTGGTTTATTTATCTGCATCATCAAGCGCATTCAAGCAACCTTGATATGTTTGGCTGAGGTGAGCAGATGGTAGTTTTCTCTAAACTTAAGCCAACTGCTTCTGTTGTCAGTTGGATAGAAAATAAACAACAAATATTCCCATGCCTTGTATAAAGAGACAGATAATGTTTTCACTGTCTGACATTAGATCTGAATCTAATGTCTGACCGGTTTTACACAAGTCAGGACAATACAGTTATTTACATTTGCTAAATTCCAGAATGATTAAAAGATGTGTTTCCATTACCCATACCTTGTCTTAGTATTGCATGCCTTTCAAATAGCCCTGATGATAATGTACAGGTGTTGCAAAATTGTAATTGGTAAAGTTATAGCATTTGAATAACTAAAAGCACAGCTATGTATCAACTCCAGAACAAAAGGAAAAGACATTGTGGAGACGTTGTTTGCAGATTGTAAGAATGTATTATTTGTGAAATATACCCACGTGGGCTGATGGGCTAATCAGAGAGGAAGAAGCCACTACTCCAAAGCAACTTATAGCATCATCTTTTGAGTGTTTTACTGCAGGAGGAACTGGTGCACTTCACAAAGCACCAGGAAAGAAGATGATATGGAAATATTGAAACCACATTTCAATAGGAACTTAAAAGCTTGAGTGAAAGTGTATTTTTTAAATGGACAATTAGTTGCATGACTGACGGACAATGTGGCTTTTTTGTACAGCATATGTAAATATCCAGTTGGAGCCGCATTTTGTTAGATCTTTGCTGCAGAAAGTTATGTTCTCATGCAATCTCATTTGCTTTCTTGTGGATGACAGTGGCTCAGCAGGTAGGAGTTTGTCCAGCTAACTGGTGGGTTGCCAGTTGTCCCATCCTTCTCAGTCGTGGTGTTCCTGGGCAAGACACTTCGCCCACCTTGTCTGCTGGTGGTGGTCCAAAGGGCCCAGTGGCACAGACTGTGTGTTGGTCTTTTTTTCAGCCTGCCCCAGAACAGCTGTAGCTATACAATGTATAGCTTACCATCATCAGGGTGTGAAAAGTTGTGCAGGTTTTTAACGATAAATGTGTAACAAGCATTAAACCAAATCTCCATTCATTATAACTGAGGTTACATGGATGCGAGAGTCCAGACTGCAACCTGATTAGATGAATTCCCAGTCTGAGTGTCCAGCATAGTGTGTTCATGTGTGACTTTGTGTCAATTAATGGGACCTTCTTCTCTCTAGTTGAACTGTGGTGTTGATTATGGCTCCGAGGCTGGCTGTGCTGCGAAAGCATGTGTCCAGCTGAGGTGTTGATTGCCAGAATTAATGAACTGTAATTTAGCTAATCCCTGAAAAATCTTGACAGAAAAGGAGGACTCTTTTTTTTTATGTAACTAATTTATTTAATGAACCCCAGAGTTTAGTTCAGGATATACTTGGCATGTTTTGTGACATATTGTTCAGTGTGATCGTTGCCAAAACTCTTTAGATATTTTCAATACTGGCTTTCATACATTCTGTGTGCAACTAATGCTCATTATCAAAGCTGCCTGGTTGGATATAAACAACAACATGGTGAATATATTTCAAATCTGCTTTGTGAAAACATAACTGTGTTGTCTCCTTTGATCTAACCTCTGATTTCCAAGATTCATGATGATGTTAGCAAGCAATGAAGCACTCTAGCAACAGAGGAAGAAAAGTAAATTGTCTTCCTGGTCTTGTTTCTTTTCAATAAAAAAAAAAAATAGAATATCCACGTAGAAGTTCATATATGTCTTAAATAATTTCCTTTTTGAGAGAAAAAAAAAGAGTCTTTTTTTGTACCTTTCCAGATTGTAGGCAAAACTTACTTGTAAATATGTATCTACAGTAGAAAAGGGCTTTGTGATGGCCACTTTAGGGTATTGATTTCCCCAGTGGAAGTAATTTGGCAGTATAATTAGGGTTATTGTCCATTTGGAAAACCCAATTTTTCTCTTGCTTCAACTTCTTGGTGCCTTGAAATCTTGTTTCAATATTTTATTTCAATGTTCCTTCCTCAAGATACCATTGGTTTTGTGAAATTCCACGTCCGATATGATGCTGCCACCCCCTATATTTTACATTTGGGTTACTGTTTCCAAGCTTGAAAATGTTCTTCCTTTTCCAGCAAATACTGGTCACTGTGGCTAAACGCTTAAATTTTAGTTTGAACTAATAAATATGACACCTTCAGGCTTCTGAATGCTGTTCCTATGAACCAGACTTATTTGTAATTATGTTATTTTTCACATTTTATCAGAACCCATGTATTCAAAGAGGAACTGAATAAAGCCAAAAGGCCCGTGCATAAACCGGAGGAGTCTGAGAGGCACAAGTCAAGTTGAGAAATTTGTTGACAGGACTACCTTGATTTCTGCAGAACTTTGTTGTATAGAAGAGTGACATTGTTTAAAAACGGATCAGATCCAAGTTAAACAGTTACACCTCACATAATCTGCCCAAAAGCTAAAATGTGATGACAGTAATAACTCCAGCTGCTCATCATGCAAATCCAGAGGGAATAACTGTCCAAACATGAACAAATAAGAACTAATGTAACAGAGGTAATCTAACATACTGCCACCATGAGAGGCACTAATCTATATGTGAGACAAGTCTAGAAGAAAAACTGTTAGTCACAAAATATCTAGCAGGACAGAGGTCCTAAAAATGCTGCCATTTGTAAAATGATGCCCCTTCAATGGGCCAGACAAAGTTAAAACCTAAACACAATTGGGAATCTTAAAAAAAAAAAGACATTCACAACCTCCCTCTGCCCAGTTTGTGAATAAATTGCACCACACACTTTTCAGATATGTATTTGTAAAACAAATTATAAAACATTATCTTTTTAACTTCCCTTTAAAACTTTGGACAGGTCTTTTTCGACACAATGTAGTGCAATTTTCCAGCTTTCTAAAACACTCAACGCTCAGTGACACACACAAGTTCTGAGCCACATGCGTCAAAGACCTGAAACAAAATGGTGGATGTGAAAGTAAGTGAACTAAACCAGGGCAGCTTTTAAGATCAATCTGAGGTCTTACCTTTTCTTTCATTCCTGCCAATGGGGAACAGAGAGCACAGCTGGCACCTGTCTGCTGCAGAGACCTCTATGCAGTATAGACAGGCATGCTGACAAAGAGAGAGAACAAGGCGGAGAATGGGAAATCATTTGAAACACTGAGAAGGAGACGGGGGACAGAAGGTGTGTGGAGTAAACAGAAATGAGAAGTTTAACCGTGAAAAAATGGAGTCGCCGGGTCCACTAAGGTGACAGGGAGGGTAAAGTTACGTAAAGGGGAAATCTAGAGAGGGTTACTCAGTCATCTGTATACTGTTTGTTTTATTCTTCTGGGGAATCAATAAATTCCAATTTGTTCTTTTGATACACTTGTTCGCTCTTGTAACTCGTTGCTTTTTAATCCAATGAAATGGTTAACATGCAATCAGATGTTGAGATTCACTAAAATAATTAGCTTTATCCCTGGTTTACCTTTTTTCACTGCAAAAATATAAGTAAGGTACTGACTTTGAATTGCCTTGTTGCTGAAAATGTGCTATATAAATAAAATTACCTTACCTTACCTTACTTATTTTCTTCAGAAAACAAATAGCCGTTTGATAACCATTTCCCAGAAGATGGTGACAGCTAAGAGAAACTTGGATAAATCATACTTTAATATAACAATCTAAGCTTTTATCATGTAACAGAGCTGGTTTGAGCTGGCCTCCTCATGTATGTCTCTGCGCGAGATTTAGATGAAATCAAATGTGATCTTCAGGAAATCTTGTAAGGCTTTGAAACACTGTGTAACAATGTGAATGGGGAGCATAGTACCATTCAGCAGACTGTCTTTTATAGAGCCCCAGGTTACATCACCGTAACATGTCCCCATGCCAGAGTGGAATATAGTTGGAGGAAGTAGAGTACATCATTTAGTGGGTTGTCTGCCGGCTGCAACATCGTACTGACGTATCCTAGCAACCAGTGTAGAAGGGTTCGCTCAGGCAAAGCCTCGGTTACAGCTGGTGATCTCTGAGGAGTCTGCATGTGTGTACGCACGCGGGTGTGTCTGTTAGCTTGGTGGGATAATAGATGAGTGCTGTAGAAATTAGTGTGCTAGCTCAGCCCTGCAGGGAAGACCAATATCAGCTATACATTCATCTATAATTATCATGGGAGAAGTTAGGGGGGGAACTCTCTCTTCTCTTTCCCACCCTCTTGTGTCTTTTGCAGACTTCTTTCAAAAACACACAGTTTTTCTTTCACGGTTTTTCCTCTTTTAAATATCTGACTCCCTTTTTATAAATTTGTTCTATTTTAAAACCATATAGTATCAGTGGGGGAAAAAATGTGAACACATTTATTTATGAGTTACTAATGTAATATTATTTGTGTGTAAAATGTTTACACTTCCTCCCTCACATAGATCACTATATCATGTTTACTATACAGGAGACTTAGACAGTAAACACGACTTGGTAGGATAGTCAGATTATTTTATGTAAGGAATTCTTATATTTTGTAAAAGATGTAATATTGCAGCAACTGAAAAGCAACTGATAGAAATGTTAGCAGTTTTAAAATAACACCACTTAGCATTTTGCTTAACCACATCAGGATGGCCATTTTCAACTGCATCTTGTCACTTTTAGTGCATTATTCAGGGGGTCAGTAGCTGCAGCCTACTCTCTTACTATGCTGTAATCAATCCATTGAATTCAAACAGCAATTATGCTTGTATCTTTCACCGTTTTCATCAATATCACGTTTGCAGTTTTAAAACAAAAACTTTTTCCCTTGTCGTTTTCCCCGTTGTCTTTGCACCTTCGGATGTATTTTGTATGAAACAAGCTCATAAAATGCTTAATGTCACTCTGCTCTTTGTCCGCGTGTGCCTTTTGGTTAAAACATTCCACAGCCTCTGCAGTCTCACAGTGATATCACGTGACCCTGGTTTTCTGTGTAAGTAGTAACGATTCCCCTTTCTTTCTCTCTGCATCAGTACTAAGTATAGGTGAAGGAGGTTTCTGGGAAGGCACTGTCAAAGGAAGAACAGGCTGGTTCCCGGCAGACTGTGTGGAAGAAGTTCAAATGAGACAGTATGACCCAAGGCTTGGTAAGAAATCATAAATCACATCCTCGTACAAATTAATGTGCGTATCATGCACACAGTACAACAGTCCAAGATGTTTTGGACTTGCTGTGATGTTTTGAGTCAGTTTTTTTTGTTGTTTTGTTTTTTTTTTTTACCTCTCTCCAATATAAGCCCTTCAGAAACTCTTACTCCAAACAAATTTTCACTTTTCTTTTTGTTTACTTAATATGCCACCTGTGTTTAATACTTAGTCCATTTTTGAGAACATATTTGTCAGCTCCTTTGATTAATTGAAAGGCATTTGAACAGTAATATTAAGCAGTTATCACTGTTTTGATCATCTCAAACATTTGAAATTATCTGTTTTTAATGAATTACATTTTGCAGCAGCATCAATTCTGAGTGAAATTTCCTTTCAGCTGTTACATCCTGCTACCTAAAACATAATATTTTTATGCACTCTTTCGTTTTTTTTATTTATCTGTTGTTGTTTTTTTTAAGGATTTATCTTTTTAAAATGTTACATTTAAACAATCTTTTGGAGTAATGACTTGATGTCCTGTGTAAACTCAATGATATATCTAAGGTATATATTTTTTCTTTATTTTTTCATGCCAAGCTAGTCCTCACCATATGCAGTAAATATTCAATAATTCTCAGAAATCCTAACTTGAAATCAGAAATCCAAATGGGATTTTTTTTATTTATTTATTTTTATCTCCAAGCCTGGGAGTTTCAAAAATAGGCAATAACATTGATTCTTATAATTTTTTATTCACTGGATTGTTTTCTTCATGCATGCACTTTGTAGATTTACATTGCATTAGAAAATAGATACCCTTCCCCACTGAAACATAAAAAAAATGAAACGTTTTGAAAGGATTTCCAAAAGGGCTTTTATTCAGGGGACAAATAAATGCTGGTGTAAAAGCTGGTCTTAATTTTAAGTGGTAGTGTATATAATTAGAAAGAAACTGAGCTGCAGAAGAAAAGGCCAAAGGGCAACAGACTGTTTGATTTAATAATGAAATATGTAAAGTAAAAGCAAATATAGAAAAACTGGAAACTTTCACTGAAAATACCAATCTTGGCCAAATTTTGTGAAATTTCCATAAAAACAGCCCAAATTATGCAAAATTAAAGAAAAAACATACCATTTTAAGGGACCCTGAAAGGTTAAAAAGTTTTCCTTGTACACATGTCTATGTGAATACAGTATTGTTCATCTTTTACGAAAAAGGAAGCCAACGCTGCAACAAGAAAGATCTCCTTTATTCCTCAACCCATAGCTTCACAGATGAAACGGCAGAAGAAATACTCCTCCAGTTTCTCCAACCATAGTTGCACATGGTGCAACTTTGTAAAAAGCCTTCTAAGAAACACAACCAATCTACCACTCGATGCCAGCTGTTATCAGCCCGATGCACGCTCTCATCCTCCTGCTATCAGGCTGCACAAAATACACAGGTGCCAGCCAAAGACACTGGTGCCAGGCAGTGCGAGAAGGATACTGCTTCTACTACACAAAGACACTAAAACAAAGCCTAATTTTATATTTCAGTCTTTTTCTGCGTGCTATTAGATCAGTAACTGTTATTAAAACATTTGGTCCTGAAGCTACAAACGCAATGCTCTAGTAAAACATATGAAACACAATAAGATCCTAAATTGTATACTTCTTGTACTAAATGCTTCTGTTTATAAAACTTAGTTAATTCAATTCAGTGAAACGTTATTTGTCTCCAGGGGGCAAGTTGAGGGCACAGTGGAGCAGCACAAACACAAACAAAGATCATCATGTTAAAATATAATAATTACATGTAAAAAAAAAAAAAAAGAAAAAAAAAAGCAACAAAATTAGATAAAAATCATTTGGAATTTAATTTTGCATAACATGCAAAACATAAACATTGTGATGTGAGGGGCACTTTTGGTTTAAACTCTATCACCTCAAGATTATTTCCAGTTGTCACATCTGATAAAAGCAGGTGTAGATTGGCACTTGAAATCAAATAAGAGTCACCGATTCCACCTTCAGGAAGATGTTCTGCTTTGTTTTCCTTTTAAATTCCTTCCATCTTTTATTAATTGTTTAAGGCCAAATATATTTTGCATTGATGCATTTCTTACTTATCACCTTTTCTTCTTTTTGTTTGTAAATTCAAAGACATAGCTCTTAATGTCAT